CTTTAAAAAAATAGTACAAACAGGCATATTTAATAGTTCTTTTACATAATGTCCATTTGGTCATCTTGCTATCTGCACTATGTCTACCTATCCTTTAAATAAAAATCGATCATAGTTCTAAAGGACATTATTTTGGAAGGTCTTCTACATTGTTGCCTATCTGGGATTCTTGTAAATTTTCTGTTTTGCTTGGGTGTCATCCTTGACTTCTAGTGGGAATTACTTGTAATGTTTATGCTGGGAAGAGACATAATTAGTTTTATTATGGAAGTGATCTCTAGCTGTGTAGACTCTATACTATAGAAGATATCAAGGGGTGTGAAGAGACTTGTAACAGAGAAGTAAGCCAGGATGTTATTACATCCATCCAATTCATTGAGGGTTTCAATAAAAGGAATGTATCTGAGAATGGAGTGGAGAAAGTTGATGTCAGTTAATTTCTTTTTCTTTCTTTCTTTTTTTTTGATTTGATGTTTTCTGATTTCAGGATTTCATGAGTATATAGACACAGTGGAACTGCTTAAGTGTTGCAGTAATCCAAGTAAGAAATTATATGCGCCTGAATTAGGTAACATATTGTTGTTGTAAAGTGCTGTCGAGTAGGTTCCAACTCATAGCGACCCTATAAGGGGTTTACGAGGGTCAGCTGGTGGTCATAGCGACCCTATATAGGGCTTACGAGGGTCAGCTGGTGGGTTTAAACCATCAACCTGAGGTTAGCAGTCCAGTGTTTATCCTTCAACATCACACCACGACTCCAAGTTAGCACATTAGGTATGAGAGGGGGGAAAAAAAAAAAAAGTGATTTTCACATATTCTAAGGAGGCACAAATATCAGGACACTTCCGCAGACCAGATGTCTGAAGAAAGAGAAAAGAACAGGCTTTAAAAAAATTATCTATTATTTTGTACCATTCACAGAAGTTATAATATAAAAATTCCATAATCTCATGACTTTCTCAGTTTTCTTTTATTAACATATGAAATTAATGCTGGGAGAAGAACTTTCAAGTAGTTGTTGCTAGCATATCCAATATAGAAATGTGTCATGTATGAGAACTGTTATTGTTGTTAAGTGCCGTCAAGTTGGTTCCGACTCATAGAGATCCAATATAAAGTTTCCAAGGACTGACTGGTGAGTTTGAACCCTCAACCTTATGGTTCAAACCAACATTGTAGTCCTGTGCTTATCTTATAGCCACACCAGAAGGATCATAAGATATATCTTTCTTCATCTAGGAGGGAAAATAGACAAGTAAATAAATAACATCTTGGACTACTATTTGAAAGGTTGTTGTTGTTAAGTGCAATCGAGTCAGTTCCGACTCATAGCGACCCTCTACAGAGTTTCCTAGAGCAGCTGGTGAGTTTGAACTGCTGACTTTGTGGTCCGCAGTTCAGTGATAATCCTACAGCGCCACATCAGGAGTCCCACCAACTTCTCTGAGGGAGAAAGATGAGGCAAGGCAATCTACTTTCATAAAGATCCACAGTCTTGGAAACCCTGTGGAATAGATCTATTATCCTATAGGGTTGCTGTAATTAGGAAATGACTGGATATCAGTGGATTTGCTTTACAAACAGTAACCTACAGGCCAAATATGGTGGTTCTAGGTCTGTCTGAGCACAGCTCACTGGTTTAATCTCTTGTGGCATTGTGGGTTAATGTGTTGTAACAAAAGGTAGGTTTGAACCACAGGATCAGCAGTTCAAGCTCACCAACCACTCCTCAGAAACCCTATAGAGGGTTACTATGAGTTGGAAACAACTTGACAGCATTTCACTACAACAACAACCTAATCATGAAGATTGTATCCTCCTTCATTAACATAACTGTCACTAATTCTGCCTTGTTAACATCATGGTTATTGTTAGGCTTCTAACCAACCTTATGTACAACTGGAATTCAGAAACACTTGGCAGGTCCTGTGCCAGTCTCACAATTGTTATACTTGAGCCCATTGTTGCCGCCACTGTCAGTCCATCTTGTTGATGGTCTTCTTCATCATAGAGGTGAGGATTTGCAACAAATAGGATAATTACATTAGATCTCAAACTAGAGGATAATTATGTCATACTGAGATTCATGGTCTTGCCAAATTGACACATATTTTAGGGATACAAAATTCAATTCATGTTGTTATTAAGTGTTGTGGAGTCAGTTCTGACTCATAACGAATCTGTATATGGTTTCTGAGAAGCTGGTGAGTTTGAACTGCCAACCTTGCGATTCAAACCTATCTTGTGATCCAGTGCTTATCCCACAGCGCCACACCAGGACTCTTTAACGAGTATTAAAGTTAAATTATCAGAACATAAAATTGCAAATGCAATTTAGTCTCTACTTATCTTTGAGTCACATGTCATCACTCTTTTTCTCACCCCTCATCCACTGACTTTCTCATTGTTCTCCCACCTTTTTATGTGCAACACAAGCAGAAAGTGACTTATTTATGAAATATTTAGTGTTCACTTCATTTAAGTTCCTTGACATCTGTACTATTTCCACTTTTCCTTTCCTTCACTTTCTTCACTCTAATTTCTTCATGGAACTTTACACCACCAGACAATATAAAGAAAGGAATGAAAGAAGAGAGGGAAATTGCAAAAGAGACATAGGTTTTCTTATCATTCTGGTAAGGTTAATCCTTGAGAATAGGAGCAATATTTTTTTAACAGCTTCCAAACTGGACCTCAAGGTCGGTTTGAACTGCAAGGTTGCTAGTTCAAACTTACCAGCCACTCCTCGGAAACCCTATACAGGGTCGGTATGGGTCGAAACCGACTCGATGACACTTAGAGGCTCAGTGAGTACTCATTCAGTCATTTCCCACCCTCCCCCTCTCTTCTCCTTTGGGAAACCAGGAAAACAAAAATCTTCCCACGGAAACTCCTCAGGAGTTCGCCAAGATCTGGGCTTGCGCACTTGGGCTTGGCCTGAGCTGCAGTCACTATTACAAGTCCGTGGGGTCCCCAAGCATGAATCCAGCGCGGCTTTCTCCGTCTACCGCGCGCGTGCGCGTGCTCCCCTTTTCGGCCCCCTACCCTGCAGCAAAGGTAACGTGACGTAATGCAATCTCAGCATGTCAGAGGCGATATAAAGGAAGGCGAAGCAGCGCGCGCCTCCCAGACGCAGGGTAGCTTGTGATTGGTTCGCGCTGGGGGACCTCGCAACCCGAATGTGAAGACCATACAGATCCAGCGCTGCTGCCCTTCCTCTCCCCCTCCCCGCTCCCCCCACCCCCCCACCCCCCGCGCAGACATTCAGTGAGCAGTCAGAGTCCAACTGGCAGCTGCGGTGGCGGCGGCAGGTAAGGAGACTCTGGAGGAGTAAGTGGAAGGACTTGGGTCCGCTACGCTGAGTGTGTTTCGTGTGCGGGAAAGAGAGGCTTGCATCCAGCGCGTAGAGTAGGTCGAGAGGAACAATGGAAGTGGCATCTAGTCCTTAAGCATTTTCTCCTTCTCTGGGAGACAGTTTTGCTCCTCAATCACAGCCAGTGGCTAGGGGGATTGAGGGAAGTAAGTGTTTCTCCTACAGCCAATTGCTTCTTACCCCTAGGTCAGATCCCCTGGGAATAAAAGCTGTCGCTGAGGCCGTCTGTAGTTTAGGGTGATGGGAAAATGGCGGAAAACAAAAAGGTGAAGTGAAGAATGCGGCGTCCCCCTGGCATTTTCTCTCAGAGACCCTCCCCCCCTCCGTATTCCTCACCCCCCCAACTCCCCCCGCATACCTTACACCCACCTCCAGCCAGCTGCTAATGGTAACGTTTGCTAGACTCCCAAGGATGGCAGCATTTTCTGCGAGGCGATGGCACTGAATCGGGAATCTTAAGTGTGAAAGCCGTCGGAGACTGGGGGGCTGTGTGTGCAGCAATTGTCGCCTCCACTAAAGCACCACCATTTTGATTCCCAGCCGTCTCCCATGTAGCGGGCGGAAGGAACAGTAGGAAGATGAGGGATTAGGGAGCACCGTGTGGGAAGCAGCGGTGGTCACTGCTGCACCAAGTGAAAGGAAGAAGGAGAGGAAGGGGGATTCTTAAAGGTCTCTTCCTTTCCACCATTGTTAGGTTTAAGATCTAATCAAACGGATAATATATGAGAGGACACGTGCGAACGTTCTGCTCAAAATGATTGAAACTTGGCATGATCATGGGAAAGAAGACTTATGCGGGAAGAGGGCTGCGTCCAACGCTGCAATATTGCTACTTGCCAGGGCTCCTTTGTCTCCTTATCTTTGAAAATACTACTTTCACATTCTCTTACTCTGTTGGATTAGGGTTTCTCTTATACCCTGTGCCCCATTTACATCACTGAGAAGCTTGGTTATGAATAAGTTATGATTAAGAGGACATAGACGAGAATAAATTTTTATTTTTGTGATTTTTTTGATCCCCGTACATGAATGGAAAGATGTTTACTTGAAGCATACTTGGTGTGTTGTATCTCTATTCAATAAGGATGTGAGAGATACTCTTTAGAAACGTAGCTATCTATTGGTTATTCAACATTTAACACACTACTGTTTTCTTACATCATTTCTTATTATTGGGGGTATTGAAGCTTCTCATATGGGAAAAGGTGCCCCAATTCCTTTATATGGTATTCAGATACTTCCCCTAACAATTACACTATGTGTTGGTAATTTTTGCATAATTGAGCATTAGTACAGCTTTTTCTCTATGCATTTGAAAAGGATAAAGCTTGCCCTTGTTTCTTTTACATTTTCCAAAATAAGGTCCTGCTGGTGATTTTTTTTAAAAAATGTGTTTTAGAGAAGTTTTTGATTTAATCAAGTTGTTGGATTCTAAGTGTAATACTATTGCTTGTGTTTATTAGGTAGCTCTTTCTGTTGGAATCTCTTTGGTTGCTTTTTAGATTAACTCAGAATTGAGCCTTTCCCAACCCAACCAACTTAAAGTGTTAAGAAAAATACTCGCGTTGTGTGAGAGATTTGGCTTAAAATGTAAAATATCTAATTTTGAATGTATTTTCTCAATAGATAAAGAGAATGCTTTCCCCAAGAGTGACATAGTTCAGAAGGGAAAAAAAAATAAGAAATTGCTGTAGATTTTATTTTACAATATGAAAGAAAATATACAATTTCTTGGAGACACTCATAGTAAGGTGATTGACAAATTACATAATGCTTAAGTTACTTACAAACAAAATTAAGTTTAAAAAAATATTTGAAAGACATTTGTAGCTGTTCTATTACATGATAAAGCAATTATTCTAATTAAATCAAAATGTACACTTTTTCCCCTCGTTTATCTTTTTTTATATATAAGTTTTTATTGTGAATTGAGTGAAAGTTTACAGGGCAGATCATCAGTTTTACATTCAGCAAATCATACTTTGTTTCATTACAATGATTATAATCCCCTCCATGTACCATCAGTTAACAGTATTTCTCTCTATTCTCTCTATATTCATTTTAGCTTTTTTTTTTTTTTTTTTAAACACTCAGGCATATATAATAATTTACACCATTAACTGTTAAACATAAATACTATGGCATTTTAATTTATCTGTGGGAACACAATTTGTTTACAGTGAATTCTTTTGCATAATAGCAAGACAGAAAACAGTTTTCTGATATTTGAATAAAGGCAATAAACTACAGCTAAGAATTTCTAAGAAATTGCTAGTTTTGTTCCCATGTGAATAAAAAATTCATTTTATAATTTCATATATAGATATAACATGTTTATGTATGCAACTCAATGTTTATAGAGGATACCTCCTGATACTCCTGTCTCCTGCATACCTATAGAACTTTACATGGCAACATTCTAAAATTTTTATTAATGATATTGTCTCACCTTTGGTGCAATACAACCCAATTTATGAAATACTCCTAAGTGACAAAGAGAGATATGCCATCTAAAATTGACATTATTTTTGGTTGATTCACTTAGAATCCTGTATTTGAAGGGGAAATAAGAGGTTTCAAAAAGTTCTGGAAAACAGAATTTTTCCTCCAACTTTTTGAAGCCCCTTTGTGTACATATCTAATTATAAGGAATATATTAATGGCACTCTCTGATTTAATGTTCCAAAAATAAGTCACTTGAAAGGAAATAGGTTGAGCCCTTTCTTGTTTTCAAAACCAGCATGAAACGTTCATGACTTTATTAATCATTAGTGGAAAAAAAAATAGTTGTATAATTATAAGTAAAAGATATGCTGCAAGAAGCAATTTGTCAAATGTTTATATGTGATTGATCTTATCTTTACCATATTTAGGAAACAGTCATGTTTCATGTGTTCTCAAAACTGAGAGAAGAGTAGAGTGAGGCCTGAAGCCCTTACTTCAAAGAACTCCAGGGAAACTGGGATAGAACAGTTTACATTATAAGTAGAACCTCTGGACCCAGAAGTGAACACAAGTTTATCTGCAGAGCTCACCTGCAGGCCTGATCTATGTTTGGAAGAAATGGATAAGAACCACTGGATGAAGTTCACTAATACTAGACATCTGAGGCTTCTAGTAATGTATAAATATCCCAACTACTGTTGTCATTTTGTTGTTCTTTTTCTTTTTTTCTTCTTTTATAATTTATCTTTTAACTGGATCCTCAATGCTCCAGCTTAGTTCTTTTGCTTACTTGTCTCGTCACCCTTACTGTCTTATTCTTCATCATCTTTGGTTTACGTCCATCTGACCCTTTTATCTATGGTTGTCACATAAATCATCAAGGTTTTTTTTTTGTGTGTGTGTGTTTTCCTTTTCTGTGTAATGATTTGCACACATATTTGAAAGAAATTTAAATTTGTTTTTTTTTCTCAAAACAACTGTCTTTGGCCTAAATGTATTTAAACTATTTTAAAAACAAAACAAAACAAAACATTTCTTTTACAGAGCTTTGTGAATGAACTTTGCTAAGTATGGATCCAGGTGGTGGAAGTCTTGGATTGCACACGTCAGAATCTAGAATGGCCCATACCATGATTATGCAGGATTTTGGTAAACATTCTCTTTGTAGTATTTTTTTTTTTTACATCAGGATGTACTAAAAATCAAAACTAAACTAAGTAAGAGGAGAATATATATAATACAAAATTATGCTTTTACTGGGAAATTCATTTGTAGAGCTTATTTCTTTAAAGCAAAACTTTGTATTGGTCTACTTAAAATCAATCTTCTACTTGGAAAAATGATAATATTGTATTGGAAATGAAAATTCAATTTGTATAGTTTCATCACATTCTGATGGTATATATCAATTCTTGCATGTGGGAAAATTTAAATAGGCTTTTTAAAATTTTTGAGAGGGCTTCAAAAAGTTCAGGGGAAAATTGAGTTAAAAGATATGTAATTTTTTCCTGAACTTTTTGAAGCCTGATCATACATTTTAAGTTGCATACCTATTAAAGCTAGAAAAAAATTGCTTTTATTCAAAGAAAGTAAATGTATTTATAATGATATTAGGAAAAATATGTACTAAGTGATTAATTATATTATAATGTTGTATTTTTACAAAGTTGTTATTAGTAATATACATTTTTCTTTTAAAGAAAGAAGATATTTCCTGCTTTTGTGGCCAGATTTTTCAGTAGCTTCTTAACAGTACTCTTTTTGAAGAAGATGCTAAGTCTCCATTGCCTGTCAACTCACTGAATTTGGGCAGAGTTGGTCTATATTATAGAGGAGGTTGAGGTGTCTGAAGTATAAGAGGCAGGACTGAGATTATTAGAATTGAAGATACAGAATGAGGGCAGAAAGACAAATGAACAATTGAGATAAAATAGTAAACAGGTGCCACGAGGTGTTTCAGAATTGCTTAAGCTAAAATTAGAGTTGTTGTTGTTGTTAATGTGCTGTGGAGTTGGTTCTGACTCATAGTGACCCTGCATAGGGTTTCCGAGGCAGTAAATCTTTAGTGTAGCAGAAAGACTCATCTTTCTCCTTCAAAACATTTGGTAGTTTCAAACTGCTGACTTTGAGGTTAGCAGCCTGACTTGTAACCACTATGCTACCAGAGTTCAGTGCAGATCCTATAGCACCACACCAAGAGTGCGTAAACTTGGTCAAATTACTTACTTCTGCATGGTATATGGAGTCTTGGTATGGTGCTGAAGGTTAATGTGCTGGACTGCAAGGTCAGTTTGAACCACAAGGTTGGTGGTTCAAACTGATCAATTGCTCCTTGGAAACCCTATATAGGGTTGCTATGAGTTAACAACAACAGATAGTATTTAAAAAGCCCTGGTGACATGGTGGTTAAGTGCTCTGCTGTTAACCGAAAGGTCCACAGATTGAACCCACCAGCCACTCCATGGGAAAAATATGTAGTAATTTGCTTCCATAAAGATTTATAGCCTTGGAAACCCTATGAGGCAGTTCTGTGCTCTTACAGTAGGTCACTATGAGTTGGAATTGTGTTTTGATATCATTTAAGGCCTTTTCCAGTACTATGATTCTTCAACGTTTCTGTCTGATAAGTAAAGGTGGGTAAAGATTGAATGTGATGAATAGTTAATTGATGAAATAGAAAAGAATCATAGATTTTTTTCTGATAGAGCCCAGAAGTGAATTTTATTGGTTATAGATGATAACGAAATGATGTTGGATGAAAAACAAGCACAGGGATAAATTCTAAAAGAAAGATACAGGGCTGATGAATAAGGGCTAAATTAAAGATATGCTTATGAGTTACTGACTAGAGACTGTATACTTTTCAGAATACTGGAACACTTGAACTTCATTCAGTAGGCAAATAAGTTTTGGTTGAAATGACAACTTAATTCTTTTACTTTGTAAAATAAGATAAAGATTTTAAAAATTGAAGTAATAAACTTATTTATTCCATTTAATATAGAATATTATCTACTATATATTATTTGGCAGAGTACGAGAACTCCCTTCACTCCTCTTGGCAATTGAAATATTATTTCCAAAGGATGAAAAAATGTTTGGTTTGAATGGATATGTACCTCATATTTTTCTTATCTTTATATTTATTGTTCCTTCTTAATGTCTTCAACTTTTATTAATCTCTTAATACAATGATACTTTATTTCCTTTAATTCTTGGAGATGTAGAATGTGGATATTAAAATTTTTTGTGTGTACACTTGTTTTCTTATTTTTATTGAAATAAAATTCACATGCCATTCAAGTCACCCATTTTAAGATTTACAATTCAGTTATATTAAATATAGTCATAGAGTGATTTTTACTACTGTTGTGTGCCGTCGAGTCAATTCCGACCCATAGCGACCCTGTATAGTGTTTCTGAGGAGTAGCTTGAACCGCCTACCTTGCAGTTCAAACGGCTTTGCAGTCTGGCGCATTAACCCACAGCGCCACACCAGGATCCGATTTTTACTACTAGTAATTAAAAAATATTTCATAATCCTAAGAAGAAACCAGACACCCTTTAACAGTCACTCTGTTGCTTCCAGCCCTAAGCAACTACTACTATACTTTTGGTTTCTATGGATTTTAACTATTCTAGACATTTCATATAAATGGAATCATACAATATGTGGCCTATCGTATCTCGTTTCTTTCACTTGGGATAAATTTTTTAAGGTTCATCCATGTTGTATCAGTATTCGATTCGTGTTGTTGCCAAATAGTATGCAGTTGTATGGTTATACTTCATTTTGTTTATCCATTCATTAATTATTGACTATTTGGCCTATTGAAATTTTTTTTAATGCACTTAAACAATTTTGTGCTTACCTTAAGGTTTTGTTTATTAGGCAGGAGTATAATTCTCCTTGGAAGTATAACTGAAGCTAAAGAATAAACATCCCATCTTCTTGGACTCCCTTTCATTTAAGTTAGGAAAGATATCCAAAGGGGCTTCAAAATATTTGTGGAAAATAGAAATAAAAGATAGTGGAATTTTCCACAAATTTTGAAGCTCCATTGTACATATACTTTCACATGTTGTTAAGTGCCATTGAGTCTGTTCTGACCCATAATTTATACACATACCTACATGTAAACTTATAAAGATATGTTATAGGGTAGAAAGAAATTTTTCCTGGTTCCCCATCTTTTTGGCAGGAATAACATGGAAAATCTGAGGGCTACCAACTTAATATTTCCAGATATTTTATTGATATTTTCATAGTATTGTTTAAACCCCTTTCTAAGATAAATTTAACAGAGTAAATCATACTTATATGAATAAACGTTTAAAGGCATTTTATTTCTTTTTTGTCATACAGCCTGTTAATAATTTTTGTGGTTACTGGCTCTTTTGAGGATGAGTTCTTTTTTTAAAAAAAATTATGGTGAAAATACACAGAAAACAAACACCAAGTAAACAATTTCTACATGTATAATTTTGGTGACATTGGCACCGTTCTTCAAATTGTGAAATAATTCTTGCTACCTATTTCCAAATTATGCTCCCTAAGCAAAAGCTTTCCCTTTTCCCCTCCTTTCCATGCCTGGTAACCACTAATAGTCTTTGATTTCTATATATTTGCTTATTCTTCATAAGTGTGATCATAAATATTTGTCCTTTTGTGACTGACTTATGTCATTCAACATAATGTTTTCATTGTTAATTCATGCAGTGGCATGCACAAGGACTTCATTTCTCTTTATGACTGAATACATACTACATTTTGTTTATCTGTTTACCTCATGACATACATTTGGGTTGTTTCCACTTTTTGGCTCTTGTGGAAAGTACTTAAATGAGTATTTCTGTATGTGTGCCTATTTTTATGCTTGCTTTCTAGCCTTGGGTAAAAAATTCTTGCTACTAGGGTTCCAGTTCATACATGCATGGGTTTATTCCAAACAATGCATGTTTATACATGACTCTGTGGTTAGTGGATGGCTGCTGACAAGACACCTGCCTTAGTCTTGTTAGGGTGCCTTCAAAAATAAGGTCCAATCAAATCACAGTGGCTTCCAAGGAGATATGCTGTTGTTGTTAGGTGCCATCGAGTAAGTTCTTTATGCACAATAGAATGAAACACTGCCCGGTCCTGGGCCATCCTCACATCCTCTATTCCAATTAACTCTTGCATTCTAACCTGTGTCTTCCCCTACATTCGTCATTCTTCTGTCACCCTCCTGCTTGTTGTATATCTACTTTCCAATCTCCCAAGTTAACTTGTGTCTATCCTCTAGCTAGTGAATTTTTCCCCCTGCCCTCCTATCCTTGGTAATAAATGAAAGAATGATTACTTCAGCATGAAAACCTTTTCTTGGCTTTTTACAATAGTGGTCTCATACAATATTTACCTTTTAGGGATTGACTTATTTCACTCATCATAATGTCCTCCAGTTTCATCCATGTTATGAGGTGTTTCACAGATTCATCTTTATTCTTCAACGTTCTGTAGTGTTTGTTTATCTGTTATTCTGTTGATGGGCGTTTAGTCTGTCTACAGCTTTTTGCTATTGTGAATAGTGCTGTAACAAATATGGGTTGCAGCTATATCTTAATTCTTATGGATATATACCAAATAGAGGGATTGCTAGGTCATATGTTATTTCTAGTTCCATCTTTTTGATAAAAACAAACAAACAAACAAAACATACCGTTTTCCACAGTGGTTGCACCATTTTACAGTTTCACTAGCAGTGTAGGAGGGTTTTAGTAATTCCACACCCTCACCAGAATTTGTCATTTTCTGTTGTTTTTAACTTTGCTATTAATGATGATATCTCTTTGCTGTTTTGAATTGCATCTCTCTATGACTCCTGGTGTGGTTTCTGTGGGTTAATGCACTGGATTACAACGTTGGTTTGAACCACAAGGTCGGTGGTTCAAGCTCTTTGGAAACCTTATACAGGGTCATTATGGGTCACAACTGACTCAACAGTACTTAACAACAACGAAAGCTAATGATCATGACTATTTCTTCATATGTTTGTTGGTCGCCTGAACGTGTTCTTTGAATGTGAAGTGTCTATTCATGTCCTCTGCCCATTTTAAAATTAGATTATTTGTCTTTTTATTGTTGAGGTGTTGGAGTTTTCTATAAATTT